CATTACTGCTGTCACGAGAGGCCAGAAAGCATTTTTAGGCCGTATTTCGGCCGTAAGGGCGGCGTAAAATGGATGTACGTGACGCTAGTGTACGACCTAGAAAAAGCGTTACACGAAGAACGGCAGCGTGGCGACTCTCATTCTTCTCTCTGCTTCAATCTTAACATTTTTTATCTTAACCGCGCGATATATACTCTGGTTGCGTTCCTATATTCACTGCCAGTACTGAAAATCTATAGTTTACGTCACGTGCACTTAGACCCTTGCGCCGCTGCGCCACGCCGCCGCCGCCGGTAAATTATCATGCGCCGATTTCGCCGCCGCCGATCTTGAAATTTTCGCCGAACGCCGCCGCCGCCGAAAATTAATGCGGCGCGCCGAAAAAGATGCTATGATTGGCTGTATTCAGCAAAAGAAAACAGTTTAGTGAGCATTCAGTTCAGTGACTCTCTTTCGTGTTACGTGTTACTTTATTGGGTGCTTTCCATTTAGTAACTCAAGTCGACACAAGTCTAGTGAAATCATCATTTGTGCTTTCCATTTGAATTGTGTCGCTGTGTGTCAACAACTCAAGCTGACTTTTGCTAAGGGCCGCCGCACAAGCTTTTCCGTAATGCATTACGTTACGTTAAGTACTGATTCTAAACTTAAACTCGTACATAATCTTAAACTTCAGTCAACGCACAGAGAAAACCGTAACGTAACAAAAGCATACTATGTTACGATTTTGTTTGTGCGTTGACTGAAGTTTAAGATTACGAGAGACTTCGAGACAAAATGGAACTTTAACCATTGTATTGGAGCAATTGATGGAAAACATATTCTTCTTCAGGTATATACATATGCAAAAACAATATATATATATATATATAATGTAAGGATAAATTATAAGTTCTTGAAAATTTTTTTCAGTGTCCAGATAATGCAGGTTCTGCATATTTTAATTATAAACATAGCCATAGCATTGTATTGATCGGAATTTGCAATGCAGATTATATTTTAACTTTTGTTGACATCGGAGCTTATGGCCGACGTAGTGACGGTGGAATTTTTAGAGATTCTATAATAGGTCACAAATTCAACAATCGTGAAATGAATTTGCCTAAATCAGAACCTCTTACAATAGATGGGCCATCTTTACCTTACGTACTTGTAGGAGACGAAACATTTCAGTTAACAGAATACTTACTTAGACCGTATCCTGGAAAAGGCGGTTTAAATCAAGAACGGACAATTTTTAATTACCGTCTTAGCCGAGCCAGAAGAACGATCGAAAATACTTTTGGTATTTTGGTTAGTCAATGGAGAATTTTAAAACGACCAATTATTTGTACAGTAGAGAAATCAATGAAAATTGTACAAGCTATTGTATGTTTGCACAACTGGCTTCGTAAGCAAGATATCGGAGTAAACCAATATGTTGATGAAACACTTGTTGATCAAGATAGACCTGATGGGTTTGTTCCTGGCTCTTGGAGAGAAGACATCGAAAACAGTGTATTAAGAGATATTACTACATGTGGTAATAATAATAGTACGCGAAACGCAATCAAAATTCGTGAAAACTTTTGCAATTATTTTAATACCGAAGGAACTGTACCATGGCAATTTAATAATGTTTAATTATCATTTTTTGTAGAAATAAAATAAAACTTCTGATAACTAATTATTCAACTTATTCTATTTAGAAACATTTAAATATCTATTTCAACATTTTAAACATTTTATACTTATTTTATACATTAACTGTAATATAAATATTTAATGCAAATAAAACATTTTTAAATTAAAAACAAAAAAATATTAATTTTTTAAAAATAAAAGAAAAGATTAAATTTTAACCAATGTTTAAAAAAAATATGCTGTTCCAAAGGAAAAAAAAATATCTTATTGAATGTTGCTTTTAAATAAAACGTTATTCATTAATGATTTCTTGGATAATTATATCATAGGTTAACTGTAATATTTTTTGCATTGTTTCAAACCTAGTCCTTGATGACATTTTCTTTAACCTAAATCCCACTAAACTTAAAAAAGAATCCATTTCGTCAGGTTCTGGTGGCGCAGGAAGAACTATTCTATCTTCTTTACACATAGCATCCACCATTCTTTCTATTGCACTAGAAGTATCACTTTTTTTGTTTTCCTTTATTGGAATCTAAAATATAAAAATTTTTTCAATTATTTTTAATAGTTTTTTAAATTATTTTTAATAATAATTTGACATGTTTCAATTGTACCTGTTCGGAGGCTTTCTGCATTATTTTCATCATTTATTAACGATGAGTTTGAATTATCCTCATTATTTATATTAGACACCGTGCTGTAATGTTTATAATCCTATATTTACAGACTTAAAAATATCATATGTTACTTATTTTGGTAAATACGCAGAATGTGTATCTCCTCAATTTAAACAAAACTTGATATTACTGCGAACTTTGATAAGTAGAAAATGGTATTTAGAATAGTGTCCCATGAATTCGCACCTTTAGGTGTGTGACATTCAGTTCTACCAACGTCGAAAAATAAATTTACCTATTTATTTGATCGTATACGCATAAATTATATTATATTGGTAATAATATATGAGGTTAATAATTGATAGTAATAACAGAAGTTACTCACATAAAATAATTTATATATACTATATAATATACTACACTAAGTAAAATATTCAATAAAATGTTAAATCTCAATTTATCAATATAAATTATAAATTTGTATCTAAAGTTTTACTTTCGTTTGTTAGATTTTACAATGAAGAAAACTGGAAAATTACTTTTGGCCGAGAATTTGGTTGACTGCAATTATAGGTTTGTTTTTCATAATTGAACGTCTCTTGCATTAATGTGCACTAATTCACTTTTTTTTTCAACGTTTAAATATTATTATATTTGTTTCATTTTCAGTGTAGTAAGTCCAGTTATAAAAAACAAATCTTTTATACCACTATCAGATTCTATAAAAATTATCTTACAAGATAGAGATATAAATCAACAACAAGAAAAATGTACAAATCAACAACAAGAAAGAGGTATAAATCAACAACAAGGAAAAAAAATTTAATTTCTCATCACGAAGAAGAATTCGTATGGAAGGATAGTAAATTTATATGGAATAAACAAGCTACTTTCGCGCTTTTATCTGCATACGAAGCTCATGACATTGAAGCTGATAATACCAAAAAAAAACAAAAAGTTTTGGCAATCAATAGCACAGGATCTAAATGACCTATGTTTATCTGAAGTTCCAGTAAGTATATAAAGCATTTTATTATATTAACCTAATACACATATATTTCTCTAATTTATTTACAGTTAACAAATGATCAAGTTAGATGGAAATTTAGTGCATTAAAAAAATCGTATAACAAAAAAAAAGATCATAATCGCACAAGTGGAAATGCCCCAAAGATTTTTGATGCTTACGAAAAAAGATTACAAGAAATTTTAGGTAATAAAAGCAATAATAATGAAAGCAATGAAAATGTTTTTAATTCATCAATATCAGTAAATACTCAGAATATAACAACTAGCATAGAATATGTAAAAGAATCAAGTAATATCCAAGAAGATACAGAACTTACTGCAGAATATACTAGAACAGAAATGAGAATGGTACAACAGAAAAGAGGACATGGAACAGGATCAAAAACATGTCGAACAAAATTAGAATTAGAAAAGCAGTGGTTGGAACATCTTCAGTTTATTCAGAAAAGATATGAAGATAGAAGAGATTATGAAGAAAATGAAAATAAGAGAAAAGTAGAAGAACTTGAATTAAAAAAAGAAAAGTTAACTTTTAAAAAGAAAAAGATGTTGTTTGAGGAATTCAAATTAACCAAAAAGACTGAACGACATAGAGAAAAAATGTCTATTCAATGAGAAAAATGTGATTTGCTAAAAAGTTTAATTGAGAAACGAAGTATTTTTTATTCGAATAGCCAATAAAGATGATATTAATTATTATTCAAGAAAACTAAACTACATTAAATTTTTAAATACTAAGCACTCTAAGCTGTAGTATTCTACCATGCAATATAATTATTAATTTGTAATTGTGTTAAAAGTTCAAATTATTTTCGATTAAAAGATAACACTATTTTTGGTTTAAAGAAGTTTAAAAAGGATATTTATATTATAATTATCTAATATAAAAATATTAAAATTAATAATTATATTGTATTGGATAAAAGAACATCATAGTCTAGAATCTTTGATATTTCATTTAAAAACTTAATATGTAGTTTAGTTTTGTTCAAGATTGAAAAGTTGAATTCAATCGATAAATTTAAACAGTAAATTCAACCGACAAATTTGAACGGTAAGAGCCGCAAGCAAAACACGAGCGAGAAAATTGTTTGGAGTCCGAGAGTCGACGCGCGTTAACCGTTCCGCGAATGTCCTCTGCCTCGCGCCAAGCAACATCCGGCGTCCGCGTGCAAGATATCCGTTCTCGCGAGAGCCTCTAGCAAGAAGCTCTACAAGATTTCCGATACGCGTCAAAGGCAGTCAGTAACAGGACATTCTGAAGATTTCGGAGTCGCGGAATACGTGCCGTCGCTCGCTCCTATTATTCAAAATTAAACGAATCTTGAAACAATCTACAATCGATTATTTACTGAAATTCTCCTTATCCTCCAGCGGATCTACGGATTCGCGTTACACATCGCTTCTCGCTCATCTCTGAGCGTCTCTTAAGATTCGGGCGATCTCGTCGAGGTCGACTACCAAACAAGTTTTCTTGATAAAAATTATTATTATTACGTTTATTAGCTATTTAAATAAAAAATATTTGGTTCTTTGATCAAACTTTTTAACAAAAATAAAACTACAAATCTACAAATTTGAATCTACAGAAATCTACAAATTACATTTTTCTCTTTGAATAGAAACTTTTTCTCTATGTTGTTTAGTCTTTTTGATTAATTTTAGTTTTTTAAATATCTTTTCTTTATATATGTATATATACTTATTATTACTTATTGTTAGATAGGATATACTTATACATCCTGCTCTCGATTTGTTGCGTCAATCTGTCGTCGCACTGCTAGTGACCGATCTGCTCTGGTGATGTACCCAATTTGACATCAGGATATGATTTCAACTTTTGGTTGCAATTGAGGCGCACTCGAGGACACAGTAGGCCCTGAATTTGGCAGCCTCGTTCCACAGGGAATTGTTTGCTGTTTGTTAACAATCCGCAAGCAAATGGTTAGCTGGGTATTATATAGGATACAATTCTCTAAACAATAATATTCGACGATCTTCTAAATCTTCATCTACAATTACATCTCCTTCATTATAATTTTGTATAAGATTATTATCCTCTGCTGCAGAATATTCGTTATAAAAATCTTCACCGTTATCTTCATTATCTAAACATAAATTATGAAGTACGCAACAACCTACTATGATTTGAGTCATGAAATGAATATCGCGTAAAGGTAATTTATGTAACTGGCGAAATCGGGCTTTCAAAATACCAAAAGCTTTTTCGACTGCAACTCTAGTTATTGAAACTTTTGTATTAAATGCTTCTTGTTGAACTGTTAAATGACCGTTATCCTTGAAAGGACAGACAATCCATTTCTTTGCTACTCCATTATAACCTTTATCTCCTAACAGAAAAGTATTGTTTGGAAAAATGTTTTCTCTTTCTTGTTCAGCAATATGAAAAAGCTGTGATCTTCTTAACATTCGAACATCGTGAAAAGAGCCTGGGTCACCACAATATATATTAAGAAATCTCATATTACAATCACTAACAGCTTGTAAAAGGATCGAATAACATTGTTTTCTGTTAAAATATTCTCTGCTATTTTATTCAGGCTTATTTATATAAATATGCGAACCATCTATTGCTCCAATGCAGTTTGATATGCCTGCTTTTTCTTGAAAGTCACGAGAAATTTTAATTAAATCATTTCCTTGAGGCCATGTAATAACTTCTGGTACCAGAGTTATTAACCAGTTGATAACTCTACGTATAATACGGAATACTGATGATAATGATATATCAAAAAGATTAGACAATGTTCGATGTGGTTCTTTGTTACTTAGAAACCAAAGAGTCATCAGCAAACATAGCTCTGCAGACTTTTTTTCTTTTCCAAATTCATTTGCTGCCATAAATCTGCTGGTTTCAAAGGATTCTAAAAAAAGTCAATAATTAAGATAATTTCTTTCAGTTACTATAAGATAGCATATCTTAAAAAATTAATATTCCAATATTATTAACAATAATTACCTACTAATCTGTACACAATTATGCGATTTAATCTAAAATCTTCTCTAAATTCTTTATCACTTTTTCTATGTACCACGTCAAGAAAATTTTGCACATGATGTCGTCTACGACCATTCATTAACAGCTGAAGAAGAGGAAATAGTATATCTTCTTCATATAAGTTATTTTCTAGCGGATTGTAGTTAGTCTAGGCGCCAGAGACAAAAACATGGGTTCATAATGCATAATTCTACGCAAATGATTTTACTTTTGGAAATTGTTCAGGGGTGCCCCCTGAGCGAAAATGCAAGTTGGCGGGGGGGGGGGGGGGGGTATGCTTCAGCCGCCATTTTGGAAATTAGTTTTTGCCAAATATCTCGTAAACGGTTGATCCTACGACAAAAATAGTCATAACCATTTTTATACAGAACAAAATTATCCACCTTTTTTATTTGAAACTTTTTTCTGTGGGATGGATATTTTTCGAGCTACAGCGCGTCAAAGTTTTGTGAAAATGGTTTTTGCAAAATATGTCATTAACGATAAATCGCACACTGAAAATAGTTATTATCAATCTTGTAGAGCATAAAATTCTCTACAAATTTTATATTAAACTTTTTTTCATAGGAATAATAGTTTTCGATCTATAGCGCGGCAAATGCCGAATCGACGCGTAGTTGCCATGAGTGATAATATTCTATATGAAACATTGAAATGCGAGCAATGCAAAGTCATAGAACCACAATACCGTGTTTTTTTTTTACATCTGCCGCATCCATTTTGCAGTGAATACACAAGAAAAATGAACGCTTGTTTTATCTGTGGCAAAACTTTAAGTGAAGAAAATGTTGTTGAAGTGAAGGAACGGGGTATACAGACACTTTTAGTGGCCAGTGTGAAGAGACAAGAAAAACAACATGAGCTCCTGTTGACAGACTTAGACCACATAAAGTAATAAAAAAGTCGATTAAGTGCATAGAGAGACTCGTGCATAGAAAGTTCCGCACTCTGTCCACGATAGGAGATAAAAATGTATTGTAAAAATATGTAGATTTATTTTTTACAAACTATTTTTTTTATATATCGGTATTTTAATAGGCAATTTTTAATAGAATTCAATAGGGTTTAATACGATTTATATAGAATAGGGTTCAGTTTTTGGTATAAAACCCTAAAAATAATCCTCAAATCGTACTTATATTTTAAAATTTGTAAAATATTTTGTAAAATTTTCTATCAGTGTGCACAAGGCATGTCAGAAGAATTATGCCGATGAAAGAAAGGCCGCTGCGGCTTTTCGCAGGAAAAGCATTTCGGAGCCCTCATCCTCGTCGCAGTCGCTTTTGCCATCGCAGCCGCCCTCCCAGCCGCCTGAGACTCCAATATTTGATTTCGCAACCAAGTGCTTCATTTGTGCCGAAACAATACCGGAAGATTATCATGCGCAGCAAAAGAAGTACGCTTCGAAACAACGAAGGCTTGTACATACGGTGAGGAAATTCAGAAACGTGAAGAATATTGTTTTGAAAAACCTGCAAAATCGCGACGACGAATATGCTTGGCAGATAGTTGAGCGTATTCGAAATGTATCGGACACTGCCGCCGTTGGTGCAAAATACCACCAACACTGTATTCGCGAATTGAAAAATCCATTGTCAATGGGAAGGAAAAGAGGACGGCCGTGCGAGGGATTAGATTCGGCCATGGAATCGATTTATTCTTACATTTCCGAACATTATGAAGACTGCCAATTTAAAATTTCGCACCTAGTAAATCAAATCGAGGGAGATAATCGCCCTGATTTTCGTACCATAAAATCTCGTTTGCAGGAAAAGTACGGAGAAGATATTTGCATTTTCGACTGTCAGGGTCATGACGCCTTTGTCTGCTTTCGAAGTACTGGTTACAAAATTCTGTCTTCAACTTGGTATGACGAAAGAAAATCCAATAAAGAAGAGGAAAGATTGCGTGTCGTTCGAGAAGCAGCCGCTATTATTCTGGAGGATATACGGTTCCAATTCTACGACACCGAAACATATCCTCCTTCGGACGATTTTATCAAAGATGTCAATTCCGTTGTTCCTGAGTCTCTTCATCTTTTATTATCTGAAGTCATCACAAAGTCGAAATGCGGTTCACTTGAAAAGTGGGAGAAAAAATGCACCGCCCTCGCACACGCAATTATATCAGCTGTTAGACCTCGTTCTTTTTTTTCCCCCTTGCAAATGGGAGTCGGTTCTTTCCTGTACAAAAAATTCGGTTCAAGAAATCTCAACAACGTTTTGTCAGCCTTGGGATTTTCTTCAACGTACGAAGAAGTGTCACTTTTTAAATCTTCTTGCATTCAGCGTCAGCAGCCCTGTATTTTACCTGATGCATTTTCGCAATTCGTTTTCGATAACGCTGACTTCAATGTCAACACTCTCAACGGACACGGCACGTTTCACGCGATGGGAGGGATTCATTGCGTAACTCATTTCGACGCGATAAATCGAGATCAGGCAATACCTCGTATTCCGAAGAAACTATCGGCCACAGCGTTAGGAAATTTTGGAACTGTTCCACTCATCAGTTATGGAAAACCAAAATTAAATGATCTGCAGACTCTGCTTGTTGCAGATATCGATCGTATTCGCCCGATTAGTCACAACATTCTGCCGACAAGGTGCGATTTGATGTG